GATGTGTATAAGAGACAGATATATATATATATATATATGTATTATATATACATATATATATATATATATCCAATCCAAGAGTAAATAGGTAATGCCTTGCATCACACAACAGACAGGTGTTCATTCTACATACTTTGTTGACATGAGGAGTACATTCTCTGTACTGGTCAGTCTTTCTTGCAGTTCTTTTTTTTCTGTTTCCAATTGTGACAGCTGCCTGTTGATCTGTCTCATTGATTGGTCTCTACGCCGCAACTCCATTTTAGCCTCAGATAAACCCTAAAGAAAAATTGTACAAATTTCATGATGGCAGAAGACCATACATAAAGGAAATGTTTCTATAGAAAGAAATTCTCTATGAATAAACTCTTGAACACTTTCTACACACTCCAACAATCCTCAGACACTTTATAAAAAGAAAGTCCTTCAGTAATCTCTATATAAGAAACATTTCAACATCCCAAGGAAAGGAAACTTCTAACACTCTACACAGAAACTCTCAAACACCCTTGACAACTCTGCCATTTTAAAGTTTTCTTACAAATTACTTTTTCTTGTCTCATTATTCCTAATTCAATTATTTATTTTTTTTGTATTAACTGGTTTTAGGCCAAAGATTGTCAAGCAGTGAACTCAGTCACTATTCAAAGTGGCATATCCCTTCACAAGACAAACATAAACTAAGTTTCATTATGAGGCTTAGGAAGTGGAGTTTTGGTCGTGAGAAAAAACCCTGTTACCATGACAGGAATTGAACCCATGACCCTGGGTTGGAAGGCAAGCATCTAAACCACCAAGATATTCAACTCCACTCCAATTCATTAAAACATTTCACTACCAGTTTTATCTATTTTCTATATTTAACATTATTTATTCTACCATATCATCTTTCTCCTACTTAATAGAAAGTGCTTTATACATTCCTAAACAAAATTTCTATGAAGAACCAAGTCTTATACATCATACTCACTGTCATCATAAATAAGTACATGTTCTTATCAGTGGCGTATCTAGCAGTATTAAAATGGGGGGGGGGGGCCGCGACCAAAATATGAGGGGGTGTGGAATTTATTTTCCGTTTCCAGCCCACTGAAAAATATTGCTTCTTAGATTCCCGAATACACGTTAACTGTGACAGCATAAGCATAAGCCTAGCCTAATTTTTGTTGCTTCGAAGTTTTCGAATATGGGACCGATTGGGGGTCGGTGATACGCCACTGTTCCTCAGAGCGTGATAAATTATGCTTCAACCCCCCCCCCGCCTTGGATACGCCACTGGTTCTTATCCATTCTCATAGGTATAAGCAAAAATTCACCAGATATAGCTGTAACAGCAGAAATGGGAAGATTCTCTCTTTCCGTTACAGGTTTAATTAATGTGTTTCGCTATTGGTTACGCTTAATTCAGACAGATCATGATCGTTTTATTTATGAGTGTTATCTTTCTCAATTTAGAAAAGTCGAACAAAATGAATGATGTTGGTTATATTATGTTAAGCAAATTTTATGTTTAATTGGTTTTCCTTATGTCTGGCTATCACAACAGGTAGATAATTCCGCTTCTTTTATTTCTGAGCTAAAATTAAGACTTATATTGATATAGAAAGACAACATTTCAATGAAAAAGTCAAAACATATTTGAGATTGAATCATTTTAAATCCTTTAAAAATGAACTTCAATTAGAAAATTATTTATTATTTATAGAAAGATTTGATTATAGACATATTTTAACAAAAATTTGAATTGGTATTTTATACTTAGAAATATTAATCCAACACTTTTTAAGTTCCATTGTTTAATGTCATCAAATGATCGTAATGTTTTATATAATTTATCAAAATATTAGCTTATATAAGTAGACATGATTTACTTTCTTCCATTCTCTAAATGTTACTTTGTTAGACGTAAAAATACAGTATATTATATACTGAACGATAATTATTTAATAAGCAATAATTATAGTCAGGTTTTTAGTACACTATAGGAAATAGAAGCTGAAGGTGCCATCATTTCCTGAAAAAAATGCCTGAAGCCAGCAGGGCTGAAGGCGATTTTTGAAGGAAATAATGGTTCCTAGGCTTCTATTTCCTATAGTGTACAAAAATACTTGACTATAATTACCTCTACCAACGAAGTTGGCAGGAGGTTATGTTTACACATCTAGATGTGTATAAGTTTATCTGTCAGCAAATTTGTAATGAACAGCCTACAGCCCATAGTTTTTATCAGAAATTTGTCAAACTTGGCCAAAATGTTTCTTCACCAAAGATCTAGAGCTGATTAAATTTTAAAAGGTTATGGTCAAATGTCAAAGTCACAATCAACAAAAAACTCTTTTTGTATTTTAAATTTGCTTACAGCCCACAGTTTTTATCACAAACTTGGTCACAATGTTCCATGACCAAAGATCTCAAAGTTATTGAATGCTGAAGGGTCAGGGTCAAAGTTCAAGGTCATACTCAATAAAAAATGATTTTTTGAAAGTTTTTATAAGAAATTCGTCAAAATTAACCACAATGTTCCTTTATCGAACATCTACAGCTGACTAAATTTTGAAGGGTCAAGGTCAAAGGTAAAGGTCACCATCAACAAAAAACTATTCTTTCAACCGTTTTATCAGAAACTCGACAAGCTTGGCCACAATGTTCCATGATCAAAGATCTGCAAGTGACTAAATTTTGAAAGGTCAGGGTCAAAGGTCAAGGACACAATGATCGAAAAACTACTAATATAACTGCTGCATGGATGTGTGTTCCGGTAAAGTGTAAACAAACATATAACCATTAACTTAAAAGTGATATATTTTTTTAAACAGTTTGGTGTTGTGGTTAGAATAGTGTTTTCCACACTACTGGCCCTGGATTCAAATCCGATGGAGTCTACTTGTTCTTTTTTTGTTTTCCCCCATCATTTTTTTTTTCATGGGGACAATATGTGTGGTAGATTTATACTGAGGAGAATTATGATGGGGCCCTCTAGTTGCGATGTTCATCACCTTTTCTATGGCCTTTTACAATCAAACTGCTGGTTGTAAATCTGTTGCTATAGGCTTTACATCATAAATCTACAAAGGGCTGGTTGCCGTAATCGTTACTTAGTGATCACTGTGCTTGCGCATTAGCTGCGCGTTTAGAATGATTTCTTAATAGTACACACACTGACACACTTCGGACAGCTCTTTGCGATACTTGGTGATACGACGCAGATGAATAAATTTATTGTGGTTAATGAGTTTATTAGGGGTTATTTGGTAGGTATTGTAAACAATCATGAACTATTTCAGTGTTGCCTTATTTTTTCAGTTCTTTTAAAATCAATCACCTTGTTTTACCTTGCCTTGCATTACCATTATGCCTTTCTAGGCAATGCCTTGGACGGTCTAGGCTTCATTCGTGTTAACCAGCGCCGTAAAGCGTATTGATATAGTTATCAGTCGGGAATAGGAAAATTCAGTGCAAATAAAAGTGATAACGTCACAACTGACTTATAATCATAATTATTGTACCCAACAATCAAGTAATACCTTTACTGCCTCTGATATAGTGGTGTTCCGCTCCAGCTCCTCGGTTGTTTGTACATTCAACCGCATACTCATTTCCTCCAGTTGATTACTCTGCTCATTAAGAATCTCTTGTGCCTTGTGCTCCCGTTGGAGGGCGCTAGACAGCTCACGGCAGACACTTTCAAATTTTTCTTTTTCAATCAAATGTTTTCGCTATAATGTAACCAAAAGTGATCTAAAATAAGATTGTCTTACAGGGTACTAGAACTGGCAGCATACTGTTGGTTGGGCTCATTGTTTTTAAGTACATAGAGGCTTTTTGCATGATCACACTATACAATTCCAACTATAAAGGCCTGTTTATACTTGCAACGATAACGATAAAAAGCTAAAAAGCAATTGTTTATATAGAAAATAAAAGAAATAAGAGAAGTTTTTACACTAGGATGATTTATCCTGTATACGATAAGCATTGTTACTACTACGATTTTATTGTTTTTCCATGTTGACATCATTTGAATTGGTTTGTCAAGATATTTTTTTTATTGTATACAAGATAAATCGTTATCAAATATTCCTAGGGTAAAACTTCTCTTATTTCTTTTGCTTTCTATATGAACAATTGCTTATTAGCTTTTTATCGTTATTGCTATCGTTGCTAGTATAAACAGCCATTTATACAAATGTTGAATGCTCTTGAGGAGAATGGTGAAATATATTGCCCCAAGGTGATGTGCAGACCGTAATAGTCATAGATACTACAAGGTCTAAAAAATGTAATGAAAAGGGTACCCACCAAGTAAGCATAGACCTGCTTCTAGACCTAAGCGGTCAAAGGGCCAATCTCTCTCGTGGTAGAGGTCGCAGATGCACTTTACGCCTGTGCGTGTCATAACACACAGCAATGTTATAAGTGGGGCCTAGACATTACATTGTGATATGGAAAAAAGTGTTCCCATTTAACATGATACTAATTTTTCCCCCGGGAATTTATGAACTATCATTCAACCTATGTCATACTAGTAGTGATGATTGAACTTATTACTGCTTTTTTTAACCAATGAGATGCCTGGAATGAAATGTATGTGGTATATAATATTATTTATTGTCATGTTTATGTGTTCTGTCTGCACAAATAAGCTTTGACAGAGCAATGTTCTTTAGACAGGAGATTCAAAAATGTACATTGTAAGTATGTAGATACTTTGGTAGCTAGAATTTGCCAAGAACTTAGATATATTGTATGTGACATATTCCTATGAAACCTGTACAAAGTTTGCAAGTTAACATGGGACAAAACCAATAAGGATTACCTGTCGCTGGAGGTCGTCAAGCTGCTGGGATAATACATTGTTCTTTTCCTCAGATTCTTTCAAATCTTCGGAGTCTTTCCTTAATTTGGACACCTCAATCCGTAAGGATCTTCTTTCTACTTCTGCTGCATGCAGTCTTTGAGTGAACTCTAGCACATGTTTTTGGAGTGTCGACGTTATTGCCTGATGAACAGTGAAAGAAAACAAACAAAAATAATAGTGAGTTGAATGGCTGAGCGGTTAACAGAGGGGCTCGCCTATGGTTCTGGTGGTAGAACAAGTCTTCTCGGATAAGGAATATAAACCATAGGTCCAGTGTATACTATGGCTCGTGTGCACTATAAAGAACCCAGTACATCCTTCGAGACAAGTAAGGGGACACCCCGGTGTGCTGGAACAGACAGCCCCTGTGGTGGACGGCGAAAGTTGCTGGCACCAGGTTACCGGGTAGTACAGACACAAAGGGACCCTTAGGGGCGAAGAAAGTCATTGATCGAGTTCCTAGTCCACATATCAAGCATTAGATGGATATGTGCGCTATATAAAACTACACTATTATTATTATTATTACAAATTTTAAAAAATACTATATCAACACATTTAATAACAGTATCGAGAATTCTAATGTGTTTGTCTTCACATACTGTATGTGTGCTTGCGGTGCCAGAACTACAGATAAATTTAAAAATAGAAAAAAAAACAACCTAAAAACCAAACAATAGTAGGACAAATGGTCCAAAACATTTTACAAACTATAACAATTGATTGTTATTGGACAACAGAAATTATTGGGAAAAAAATGTCTCAAAAATATCTGGGTATAACCAGCATGTTCATTTTGTAAAACACATTAGCATTTTATGTAAGATAAGTTTTAATTAAATAAAATTAATGATTCTTACTCGTGCTGTGGAAGGACAGCCCTTTTTGAAGTAAGAAGCCATGCCCAACGCCCTTTTCAGGCCTAAGCCCAGCAAGAAAACAAGTGAGCTTCTGTCTCTGGGAAAGCGGCCTTTGGATGATTCTGGTGTCTCATATGCTGGGCCTAGACAATTAACAAGACGTTGAAAGGCCACCTCTATTAGCTGTGTTGCTTTCTTGGAGTGAAGTGACAGCATTTGTTCTGTTAAGAAAAATGCAAAAAATACTAAACAAAATGCTTAATAAAATAAATCAAGTTTGCAAAATTAAAATATTAGCATTTATACAGGTTTATACCACGTAAAATATCTATGACAAACACTTTTTACCATTTATTATATTATGCAAGCATGTGCCAATTTATCTAGGTAAGTACTCACTAAACACATAAAAAAAAATACATGCAATACATATCTCACTACGTACTGCAACGCTTTATAGGAACATATTCTAAATGTGTAGGTAAGATTTACATAACATATGTACACCTTAAATGGTTTAAAATAAAAGCATTTTAAAATATCTGATTTAAGATTACATGTAACACCCACAATATGCTCTAAACAGCAAATCTGATGACATAATTTGTTGATGATATACCTGGTGTTAGCATAAGCAGTTCACTGAGGTCAGACGTAGCTTGGAGTATAGATGTCAACGTCTGTTGACTGGTTAGCCAAGAAATTGCAGTGGCTGCGGTGGATGATCCTAGGTCATCACTATGAGATGACTTGTCTGAGATTTCCATGCTACCTAAGTAAGACAGAATAAACATAATCTTATTGAATTGTGTACTTAATACAATTTTTGAACTTCTATGGTTCCAACCTGTAATTGCCAAATATACTTATAGGATGGACAAACAAAAAATCCACCATAAAAACAACTGAAGCTTAAAGATATTCTATGACTCATCATCATCTTAATTGTCAGTGTTGCCAATGATGTCCTACTCTTATCATCCCCATCCTCATAATTCTAATCACCTTAATCATCGTCGTCAACATCCTCTTTGTCATCATCTTCCTCCCTTATCCTCGTAATCCTAATAACCTTAATCATCATCGTCAACATCCTCCTTCTCCTTGTCATCATCCTCCTCATCACCATTAAGAATGGCTTAATTATTAATATACTGGGAATATTGTATTATAAAATTTATTAATCAATAATATTTACCTTGAACTTGTTTCATTTGAGGCAAACAAACAATAGTTGATGTAATGCCAGCAGGGATGTCAGTTGACATGAACAGACACTGACTTTGTTTTAGCAGACGACGCAATCTATTAACACAAGAATATATGTTATTGTTTTAAGTTGTAGCTTATCCTAAATCATTAAAAAAATCATGAACAATAAAAAGAAAACAAATTAAAAATGTAAAAGTTCATAAAACAAAAAAAACCCAAAACATACTGTAGCTTTAAAATAGAGTTATATAAGCAATGGACAATCAATGTTCTATTAGCTACAGCCCCACCTGTATGTTTGTAATATTCAACATGCTGGGCTTACCTATTGGCTGCGATAACAGCAATAACACTAGCCCTGAATTTCATCAGCATGCTCATATCGCCTTCAGATTTGCCCATCTCTTTGTTATCTTCCTTCAGAGCTAAGGTACAAACTAGCTCCAATACCTTTTCCTTCATAACATGTCTTTCGGCTAGCTGCTGCTCTAAGATGTCCCGCTGGTTTGCAAGCTGTTTAGCTCGCCTGCACAGGGGCATGTACGCCCCTGTAAGTAGGCAGCAGGCAGCCAGTAGGCTAGCCTGGATTATTTTTGATTTTTCTACAGCCACACGTAGCTGCTTGCACTCTGACTCCAGCCCTTCCTTGACTGTACTCATTAGACGCACTTTCTCCCAAGCTTGGTCAGCTAGGCCTTGAGTTTTCTGTATATATGAATTTTCATTGTATGAATAATATTTTATTAACAACTGACATTTAAATTAAAGAATAAAAATTAAAAATATTCTTAATTTTTTATCTTAAATCTTTTGATACTAAAATAATCAAGTTATAAAAGTTTAATTATGTCGACATATGACTTTAATATTTAAAAAAATTATTTTTACCCGTGACTTGCTCTGAAGTTCCTCAAACATTTTTGTATATCTTTCCTCAACCTCATCCTTCTCTTCCATCAGTCGTTTGGTTCTTTCTTCTCCTGACATCGTTGCATGCTCCAGACGTTGTTCATGCTGTTGTTGTAGCGTCTGGATCTTCAAGTCCTTCTGACGCAATGCTGTCTCAAGATCATTTATCTATTAAACAGCAAAATCATAATTATTAAATTGTAAAAATGTAATTGTATTTTATATTTTTGTAAACTGAATAATATAATTATAAAGTTGCTTTTTACTCGAATTGTAAATAACAGTAATTGTAAAAAAATGTTGTACTAATTTTAAATTTAAGATAATTCATATTTTTGTAAGTTTTGTAAATTATTCTTACTGTAATTTTATACTGGTTTAATTTCAATTACCTATTACCTACTGTAATATTACAATGATTCTATTTCTGTAAGACTTTTAAATATTAGGTGGTTTCAGTCATTGTAAAGCGCCTTGATCATTTTGGAAATGCGCTATACAAATCATATTATTATTATTATCATTATTATTATTATTATTATTATTATTGTTAATATCATTATTATTATTATTAAAAAATGCAATAAAATTTCTAATTGTAGACAGAAGTTGCCAGAAAAGAATAAGATGTGACTTTACCATGTTGCTGATGGATGTGATTTTGTGTCTGATGAAGGCTGGTTTAAGTGTGGTAATTGATGAATTTAAAGGGTATGATGAGAGGGATATGAGAGTGATGAAAGGGATGTGAGATGATTTACATGAGAGAGGGAGGAGAGAAACGTGAGAGAGGAATGAAAGACATGTGGGAGAAGGATGCGAGACAGGACATTGATTTAGAGGAATATGAGAGATGGATGTGATTGAGGAATGAGTGTGATGTGGCGAAATGATGTGAGAGGAATACACAAGAGATGTGAAAGAGGTATATGAGAGAAAGGTGTGAGAGAGAGGTGTGAGAGAAAGGTGAGAAAGGTGTGAGAGAGATGTGAGAGAAAGGTGTGAGAAAGGTGTCAGAAAGGTGAGAGAAAAAGGTGTGAGAGAGGTGTGAGAAAAAGGTGTGAGAGAATGGTGTGAGAGAAAGGTGTGAGAGAGAGGTGTGAGAAAAAGGTGTGAGAAAAAGGTGTGAGAGAAAGGTGTGAGAGAAAGGTGTGAGAGAGTTGTGAGAGAAAGGTATGAGAGAGGTGTGAGAGAAAGGTATGAGAGAAGGTGTGAGAGAGAGATGTGAGAGAAAGGTGTGAAAGAAAGGTGTGAGACAAAAAGGAATGGGATGCAAGAGAGGAATGTGAGAGTAGGATGAAAGAGTAATAATAGAAAGAAGGGAGAGGTTAATGTTTGACAACAACCATCATTTCAAATTCCTCCATTCTGATACTTTCTCACTATTACCTGATCTTTCTCTGTTTTCAGCAAATTCATAAGCGATACCACCTGATCGTGGACAGCAACACTAAGGTCATTCCAGCTAAATGAAGTTAATGTGGGTTCACTTGGTTCCATCACAATACGACCTGCTAAGATCCGTTGGTACAGACTATGTAAGTACAAGCGTTTATTCTGAAAAAAACAAATATTATTACTTTATTTATACTTCTGTTTATATTTGTCGTCATTCAACTGAGAAATTGGAAATTTTGGCTAGAGCTGGGGGACTTGCGGAAGCCGCAGTCCAAGGCCACCGACTTAACTACAATACTGAGACGAACATATTACCTAACCCACCTAACTCTCAATTATATAGAGTACTACAGTGTTTCGTCACGATACCATGTGATACTACTCCGTTGCTATCGTTGCAAAATGTGTTCAACCGGACGCCATTTTCCCCACTGACAAACCATTGATCCCAATTTCTAACGGACTTAATATTAAGATGTTGTATCTTAATTTTCTTTGTAAATTTTAATTGATGATTAAATGTGTGTTTGATAACTAATATAATGCGAGCTTTTGTGATTTTAGTACATTTCGATGGTAAAATATTAGATTTTAAAATGCCTATTCCAGAAAGCCTATGAAGTCATTCAGGTGTAATGAACGGTAACCAACACCTGTTGACAACAGAGTGCGCCACCTGGCGTCCTGATGACACAACTGTGGTACTCTATGGTCTTTTAAGGAGCTGAGTGACCAGACTCCCATTAAAATCCAAAGCTAGCCAAGTTTGAACCGGGGTCTACAGCGCGAGAAGCACATTACGCTAAGCTTACGGAAGTGCCTTTGCACAAAATATAAAATTAAATAACAAATTAAACATGCATTGTATGTGGATGTGCCATGATATACTACCTCTTCACTTTTGATAGATTCTTTACTCCTTTGATGCAATTCCTCTGCTAGCACTGTGAACTGATTACGTTCTTCCTGGCACATTTTGGCAGCCTTCTTTAACTCTGCCTTCAGGGAGCCTAGCTTGATATCAGATTGCTGACACTTGGTCCTCAGCTGTTCAGTCCCCTTAGTGGTCTTCACCAGTTTCTCTTGAAGATCCTACAAACACAACAGTTTTGAGATGATCAAAGACTTTTATGTCGTTACCACTAAAATAAATTCATAAAAGCATTTCATTGGGAATTTAATGAAGTACTGATTCTCTGTTTCATTGGATATATATATATACAGTAGGATGTTAAATTTCCCTTATATTTACTAAGCCAGTTCTCATTGGCCTCACACACGAGAAGAAAGTGAATCTCTCATAAACATTGTGACCCCTACATTTGCACTTTCCTGTGGCTTCTTCTCTTTGTGCATCAACATGAGGAACCTCCTCCAACCCCATAAATTTATGTCTTAACATGGATCCCTCTACTTGTGTCTTCCCCTGGCAACTCCCTTTGTGCCTATCCATGGCCCCATTATTTTTGCATTTTCTAGTTCCCGCTATGATTTTCCTTGTCTCAATCCATTACATCACATCCTGATACCTGTACAGTGGCACTTCTTGACCACGTCACTTCTTTATATTGCTGACATTCCTTGGCCACCTTTTCATACAAAGACTTCAATTTTGAAAGCTAAAAAATATATAATAAAACAATACAAAAAACAATAACAACAACAATAGTTACCAAAGAAGACCAAGAATACCAATATTAACGGAGGACACAGGATAAGCCTAAATAAAACATACTAGTTGAGTGGCCATTGTTTTGTGATGTCATAATTATTTTTCCTCACATTCTGGCTATCAATGGGAGTGTAATATAAGCTCATATTTTTAAATATTTCATTTTTTATTTTTTTACTTTTTATTAAATCCAAAAATTTAATTTGGGCTCTGCTGGCCTTTTATTTTTTGTGTTTTAATCTAAATTTTGAATAATAATTTCCATCCAGTGTATGATTTGTAATTATATTAATTACTTAAATAAGTGGTTAAGACTCACCTCAGAAGTTGCTCCATCTAACTGATCTTGATAGTTTGCTAATGTCGACTTTAGAGTGACAACAACTGTAGAGGGGGTGATTGGTCTATCATCTTTTGATGTTTTCTGTCTATTCTTCGTTTTTCCAGTTTCTTTCTTGCCAATTTGGTAGTTATTCAGAAGTAAATCAAGTTCCCTCATACAGCCACCATAGGTCTCCTCCAGAAAAATCTGCCTCTTCTTTGCCTTAAATTATTTAAGAAAATGTAAGAAATTTAAAATGTATATATATTTGAAAAAACTGTACACATTACAGTATATACTGAACTTAATAAAGAATTTGCTATAGTAAGTTTGTTATACCTTTTTGAGTTCTTCTTTAAGTCCATCAAAGTTCTTCTGATGTAGGTCAAGTTGATGGGATAACTCACCAATCACTATATTTTTCTCCTCAAGATCAGAACTTAATTGTTTTTTTACGTTTTTGTGCTCTTGGTTTAGCCTATAAAATGAAAGGAACAAAAACTTAAAGGATTACATGTAAATGATCCTTCAACCAGTTTGTATGCTAAGTATTTATTCTATGTTAGGGTTTTAAACATTTTCTATCTGGCTAAAGAAAAATTCAGAAAATAGGAATAAAAATACTAAACATTTTAACAAACTAGAAGTCGTCAAACTTCCATTTTGTACTTGAAAATCCACCCCATTTTAAAATTGATCTGATATAATTTTGTATTTTTACTATGAAAAATGAATGAATATAAAAATAAAACACATCACCTTATTTTCTTAATGTATAATAATATTAAGATATTGTACAGTGATATGTACACCTGACAAGCTGGCTAGAGTTAGCAAAAATTGGTGTTCAATAAATAGCCAAAGTATTGAGAACTTGTTTTATAATATATTTTACTAGTACTATAATGGTAGTAAACCTAATTTAGTAGTTTATGTACATTTACCTGTTTAGTATATTCTTGGTTTCCTTTCCTTTTTCTTGTTCTGTATCATATAGATGCTGTATTTCACTATATAGAAAAACAATTTAAGATATTGTAATATTATTACAGGTGTCAGCATATTTACATAATTCTTATAATTTTTTTTTTCATTTTACTAAAGACCAGTTTCTCCAGAAGTGCCACAAGTACAGAATAGAGAATATATTTGTTAACCAAAATCAGCAGACAGATGATACTGTATGTCTTTAATTATAATCTTGAACTATAAGAAATTTATTATAAGACAATAAAAACATTAATGAGAATAACTTGAAATATCAAAAAAATACTATTTGCATGAATGAAAATAATAACACATACACTTAAAAAAGTTGTCAAGTAGACATGCAGATACAAAAATAATCACATACTCAGCTTGATGGACTGACATATAAATTTAAGAAAGCAAAAAAACAAATTATGTTACATCAATTGCTTTGATAAAATTTCCATCTTCCTACTAGCTTCACTGTGAGCAGATTTCTCGACATCAAATGCACCTTCAAGGTCGCGGACTCTCAACTACAAAATACAAATTAAAGCAATGTACCCAATTTAAATTCATATACTCATTTGAAAATTTGTTTCGTTTCGTAAAATATTACATAGAAATGATGGATGACTTGAACAAAGAGTGAATAAAACTGTTAAAATCAAATGTTAATAAATTCAAAGGTTCTTTCATACAGAGTTGGAAAACTCCATGCAAGTAGAGTCCTCCAATATAGGGCCATAAGCATGAGGCAGACAAGCCAAGTGCCTTGTTTGCAATCTCTTTATATTTATTCAATTATTCCACAGTATTTTATGGTTTTGAAAATTAGATTAGAAAAAGGTGACTGAAAATGACTGGTAAGCCATCTCAGAGCATCTTAGCCCAGTACCTGCATCACCTCCACCCCCAACACATTTGCCTACCTCCGCATTTTTTCTTCTCTGGCTAGGCCCTGATACTTGAGGCCTATATTTATGAACCACCCTCTAATACTGATACTTCTTTTGAAAGCTTAAAGCTTATGGTTCATTTGTGTTCTTGTATGCTGTAAATTCTAAAACTAATAACCTGTGTGTGTGTGTGTGTAGGCAGGGATGGCTGTCTGAATCTATTCCAATATTAGATATAACTTTCTAAATTCTAACCTCGAAAATCTGATATAGGATCTAAAAAGAAAAATATTGTATTTACTTGAACTATCTCCGAATTGAATTTTGATTCTAAATGTGCTGCCCTCTCTGTTTCAATATTTTCTTCCAGCATCTTGACCTTTGAAAGCACCTCCTGAAATTAACAAAATATTGCATTAATTTGGAAACTTCCTACAACATCTACACTCCAGAAAAATATTCTGTTCTTACAGCACCTTTTTTAACAAAGAATCTTATACTTAAAGGTGTCTTGGTGTACTTCATATAATTTTAGATGGATAGTTGATGATATTGGGTTCCATGGCAAAAAGAACTTCACCTTTTTTGTAAAGTAGTACTAAGAATATACTAGTATTCTTACCTGCAGTTGTTCCTTAAGCCTTTGCTCTCTTTCTGTTCCATACTCAATATCCTTCACTTGGCGTCTTACTGTGTCTGTTTGTGTGTTTCTCTCTATCTCTAACTGTTCAATCTTTTCTTGGGCTTCTTCATAAATACTAAAAAACCATCGAATAAATTATTGAATTTTTGAAATCCAATGTGTCTTCTTCTACGTTATAAATCACTTAACTTAATTATACTGTGAACAAAACTAACATAGTTTAAAGATATTACATCATTTAATTATTCTTACCTGGATATATAGACCTACCGTATATTCTAGCGCATAAGACAAGGCTTAAAATAACAAATTACGATCAAAAAACAGGATGTTGCCTTATACGCACCACATACAAATTTTTGGGTATTTAAAATCATGTTCGTCTTATGTTTGGATCTTCTGTAATATGTGAATTTACTACTAAAATGAAGCTGCTAACTCTTAGTATGGTCACCATGTACACATGACAAGCCAAAAATGAATGCCATGCAGATGGCATTTAATTTGTCAGTTAATTTTCTATAATGCTTTTCAAATGCTGATACAATGAAATTCATGGACTTTACCAAGCTCCTTGGACTTTTATGGCGATTTGAAAGCAAATGCAGACTTGGTCCCAGTTGATCGTATAGAAAAAGAGAAATTCCGATGGTGAAATGAGGGGGGGGGGTCATCTTATATGCTGACATACAAAAATCGTCCAAAAATCTTCTGCAACTCTGGGGTGCAGCTTTAAATAGTCATAAGATTTACTGTAGCAGGAGTCATTAATAATGGATTTGGAAAACATACCCTTCTTGCTCTTGAAACACTTGGTCTAATTGTTCTTTTTCTGTGCGCATCACTTCAAGCTGTGTAGTTATGGTTGCTATCAATTGTTCCTATTTATTAGAAATTTTTTTTGTTATATATCATATTGGATGGATGCCAAAATTTAATATACAGAACAAAATATACATTAACAAAATCATAAAACTTTTGGTACACCATGTGTAAAAATAAGGTTTTTGAGGTACAGTAAAACCACTGGTTGGTTGCCTCATGGTGTACAAATAAAGTTTTATGATTTTGTTATTGATAATTGTCACGCAAACCTTCAAGAAAAAAAGACATTACTGTTTATTTCTTTATTATTATAAAAATGTCTTGAATCAATGAATTAAGAAAACATATTACTATAAACTATAAAGGTAGTAGAAGAGTAGAACGCTTCCAATGACACTATGCTTGACAGACCAGGCAGGAGGGTCCTATAAAGATTACATTGCTGGGAATGGTAATGTACCAAGCATCACCATTCTAATAGCTAGATTTGCAACAACTCATGTTCTTACTCTTTCTATTTCCAAAACGCACAAACAGTACAAAAAAAAAAAAAACATTCAAAAGAGTGAGCTGGAAGGAAACACAAAGCGAACTTAATTGCTGTAACTAAAGTCAGTGTTTCCAACTCACCCAGTTTCACATTAAAATATTTATAAATTGATAAAATAAACAAGACCACAACAACTACAAAGTCAATTAATACCTTACTGTTTATTGAAATACATTTACTGCTTTGTAAAAGACCTAATTAAATTTTTCAAATTCACCCAAAAATCTTAACAAAAAAGAAGATGATTTACCTTTTCTGTAATTATGCTGTTGTATCTGTCTTCAGCAGCTTCATAAGTTGTCTTCATTTTTTTAAACTCATTTTCAACATCCTGGATATGAGTTTGTAGGTCATGGATTTTTTCTTGATGTGAAATAATAATAACAATAACATACAGTAAATAGTAATTACACATCACATTGAATGATACAAGATAATCTGAGATTAAAAACCCCTGACCTGTTGTGCAATATGTATATATAAAAAATTAATGGCATTTATGTACATTGTAGCCTTTTCCAAATATAATGAATGTATATGTAATGTGATGTAATGTAGTTCGGTTTATATAGCGCTTTACAGTATACCAGAGTCTCAAAGACTAGATTGTACAGTAACTTTCTTCTCCCCTAAGGGTCTCTTTATGTCTGTGCTACCTGGTAAACCGGTATCAGCTACTCTTGTCTGTCCCCAACAGGGGCTGTATGGACCAGTTCACCGGGAAACCCCTACTTGTCTCGAAAGATGTACTGGGTTCTTTTAAGTGCACACGATTTTATTCTATATATTTTATTATCATTCACAAGCCATTTGTAGAAATATTTTGAAGTAAAATTGGGACAGCAGATTGTTAGATACACGGCTGGAAAATATTTTGGAAATCTGCATCTTACTTTCGATCAGCACCAAAAAAAAAAAGAGAGAGATACATGTAATATTGTCAAAGTGCGTAAATTTGAAGCACACAACTGTAAATCGGTCCAGTAGTTTTTGAGTTATTTGCCTGGAAGGACACAAACACAAAGACACACACACACACAGATGTGCGCTATTGCAAAACCCTTCACTTTTCCTTGAGAGGCGAGGGCAACTAAGTGAATTGAAGAGATAGACAATTCAACATGTTCTCAGATGAAAAAGACAAAATAGAGGACAATAGAATTTGGAATTTATATATACAGTATGAATTGTTGTTTTGTAAGTTTTGTACAATGAATAGACCCAGGTCATCTTTTTTAATGTATCATTCGTAATTTAGCTGCAAAGCTACAATGATTATTTTTTTAAATAGAACTTGAGCTTGAATACTGTAATATCAACTAACAGGCCCACACAAACAGTACGCAAATGACAATACAGAAGATTGAACTATGGAAGAAATACACACTGTCAATTAAAAAATGCAAGATACAACTTCCACAAACCTGCTGAGTTTTCAATAACAGAATTCAATTCCTGTTGTTTTTCTTGGTTTAACCTTTTCTGCAGATTTCCTGCATTCCTAGCCATTGTCAACTCATACTCAACAACTTGCCTTGCAGCTTCTCCTTGCTCTACCTCTGATCTTAGCCTAGCTAACTCACTTTGTAATTTACTGTTCTGAAACAAAAACAAACAAAACAAAATAAAAAAAACACAAAATAAATTATAATTGTGTCATCAAGATCAGATCAAAAGATTTCTTTTAGTCGTCTGGCAGATTAAAAATCTTATATGTGTGGCCCATCTACCATATTTTTCTAACTAGAAACGCATTGTTTTTACATTGACGCTCAAGCTAGCTAGAGCATCCACATCAACAATCACACATCATGACATCCATGCAAACCACGTTCTGGATTGGGAAAATGCAAACATCTTTGACAGTGAACCAAACGCAGTCCAAAAACACGTCAAAGAAGGTATATGGATCCAAAGACATCAATCACCATGAACAAGGACTCTGGTGCAAAAGAATTATCACATATTTACGACAACCTATTGACATATAGATTATTCAGGGTAGGAGGTGGGGCACCGGCCTAGGACCATGAGGGCATCTCATCCACCTGATGTTATACTTCACTGCACATACTGTACAGTGGTGATGACCAGTACTAGCTTCAGTGCTTGATGAAAGATAGCTGAGGTAGCATCTGAAATGTTGCAGGTAAGCAATAACAATTTTTTTTTCTTCTGGTTAACACAAAAACATATCTGCAGTAACCAAAACCACATGCTATTTGGTCTTACCTCTATCTTTAAAAAGTTTTGTTTGTCAAAATGAATAATACCTCATTGTTGAAGTTGCTTGTGAGTTCTAGGTTTTTCTCTTCAAGCTGGTTCACTTTCTGTCTTAGCTTGGACGAGAGCTCTGAAAATCAGTTGTAAAATTAATAACAAATGAAATAAAAAGTTTGACATAATTTTAAATAACAGTAATAGAATAGAAGCTATATTTCATGTATGTTGCCTAAAATATATTATCTAATAATTAAAAAAACATGATGAGAATGTTAAAAACTAAAATATAAACAACAAAACAACAGCAAAAGCAGCAACAACAGTAACAACAACAAGAACATTATACTGGCATTCAAAAAGGGCACTTTACCATAGAAATTTAATAGAATATACCTTCATCTTCAGTTATTTCAGCTTGAAGTTCTCTATTGTGAGCCCTAAGTTGCCTTATGTCCTCTCTCAATTTCATCACATCATCTGCTGTTGGTGAAGACGTTTGGTTTCTACCAATCTCTGGAATAACCTCCGGAGGAGAACTTCCAAAATCTATGCTGGTACCAAACTCAAATGTTCTCTTAAGAAAAGAAAAAAGAGAAAAAAACATTTAAATTATGAAATAATTTATCCAGGGGTCCTGCAACTGGGCCTCTAATAGTATTTTATTTCAAGTAAGCCGAGACTTTCTTTATACCTTGTTTAGCGAACCCGCCGAATGCAAATATTGATGATTTCAAATAAAAATAAAATGTTATTATTATATTAGCGCACCCACCGCCACAAAAACTGGGAATTTCAGAAAAAAATAAAAGTTTATTTTTATTACACCTCCACTGCCTTGAAATCTCCAAAGATAGGATACTGTATGTATACTTCTTCCTAATTACAAAATTAAATGAGGCATGTTGTGGCAAAATGGCTAAGTTGTAGCAAAAATTGAAATACAAGTTATTGGTATTTTCAGATACCTGAGTATGTGATCTTTAAAATGAGGGGTCATTCAATAAAATTGGACATTTCAAGCCTAAGTTATTTAAAAGTGAAAGTACAGTACTCTTAGAATCAAGATAAACATGATTTTGAGTAATTGCCTTTCAAAGTTATTTGTGCATACATTGTTTAATAGAATGAACTATCAAAATAACATCAAATGAACAATTTGTTGACCACTTTCAGAACTAATACTTTCGTAAATGATTAATAAGACATTAAACTCTTGATCTAAAGTGAAAAACAAATCTGGATTTTTAGGTAATTTTTTGAGCTACCATATTTTATAGCTCATTTACTCAATACTAGCCTGTGCGACAACTTAACCATTTTGCCACAACATGCCTCAAATAGGAACCATCCTATTTTACATTCACCAATAAAACTCTATTTTCATTTTCTCCTCCGTCTGGATGATGTTGGCATAACTATTTGCTAAATAAGAAAACAAACTTTAATTTTTATTTTTATGTCGCCCTCCCCTGATAATCTTTAAAAAAAAAAATAAGTACGCAAAACAAGGAATAAAAAAGTCTTGCCTAAAGCATAAGATTTCCATCTTGTAATTACTGAGTTTAGTACTCAATGTTGTTTGAATTCAGTCAGTAAGTATTAATACTTGTTTAGAAGTTTAGGAGATATAGAGTACCACCGCTGTGTCGTTGCAACGCCAGGTGGCGCCCTCTGTTGCCAACTAGACGTTGGTTACCGTTCATTACGCCTAAATGACTTCATTGGCTTTCTGGAATAGGCATTTTAAAATCTAATATTTTACCATCAAAATGTACTAAAAACACAGAAGCTTGCATTATATTAGTTATCGAACACGCATTCATCAATTAAAATTTACAAAGGTTTAACACTGTAGTGCACTCTATAACAAAATTAAA